TGTGTCTGGATGACCAGAATAGGGAGGAGTAGGGGATTAGAGATAGATAGGATAGAGATAGAGATAGATGTTGATAAAGAAGCACGTTGTCTGTGACCTGAGCAAGGTGCTGTTCTTTGTACCCCAGGTCCTGGAGCACACACTCCTGAGCTGTGCCCTGCTGGGCACTTCTGTCTGCCAGGGACCAACCTCAGCACACAACATCCGTGTCCAAAGGGCACCTTTGGCCCCAGGACTGGTGCCACTCATGAGTCTGACTGTGAACCCTGCCCAGCAGGTGAGTAGGGACTGGGCACCCCGGGGATGTACCTGGGAAGGGTGAGGGAAACATGAGTTCACCTTTCAAGTTACAATGGTCTGTGCAGCTCCTCTCACTGAGGCTGTTTTCTGTTCATTTTTAGGCATGTATTGCTCAGCCCCAGGTCTATCCCAGCCCTCTGGATTTTGCTATCCAGGTTATCACTGTGCCAAGGGAGCTGTCAGCCCAGCCCCCTTCAAACACAGGGTGAGTGCCAGGCAGCAGCACAGCAACCCCACTGACCTGGGGGCAAGGACTGGGCTGTCACATCCTCCTGGCTTCTGCTGTCATATTTTCCAAGCATCCCTGCTCTTCATGAGGCTGCTCATGCCTCTTCCTGCTGCCCCTGAGAGCTCCTCATCTGCTCTTGGTGTCAGCTGGAATATGTTGCTGCCCCTGATAAATTCTGGCCAGACCTGTGTTTCTGTGCATTGCCCTGGAGCATGTGGTCTAATATCTCCTCCAGAAGTTGGCATCAGGGTTGGCATAGCCACACCTCAGCATCCAAGGCCCTTTTTATGCCAGCCATGGTCTTTGTTTTAACTCAGAGGCAGCAAACTTGTAGGACTCAGCTCCTGGGTGCCCTCCCCAGAGCTGTCTCTGTGTACATTGTGTTAAATCTCCTTTTCACGGCAGTTTTTCTCTGTGTTTTTCTGGTGCAGGTGGAATCCTCCAGCCTGGCTCTGCCTGGCAATGACATCTGTCCCACTGGACACTTCTGCCCCAGGGGCACGGGGTATCCTGTGCCATGTCCTCCTGGATCCTTCTCCCCCTTGGTGGGCCTGGAGGCAGAGGAGCAGTGCCAGCCCTGCCCAGCTGGGCACTACTGCAGTGGCACGGGGCTGTCTGAGCTGGCCCAGACGTCGCTGTGTGACCCAGGGTGTGTGTGAGACCAGCTCTTGTTGGTGACAGAGCACAACCATGCTGTGTGTTACAGCTCAGGGACACCCAAACCAGCAGATCCTGGGCTTTTCTTACCCCTTTGGTTGGGATATTGCATCTCCTTAGTGAGCTCAGTAGATGTTTCAGGGTCTTTCCTTTTCCCTCAGTTTGCCTGACATTCCACCCCAGGCTTATCCATGGTTTTTCACTGTTTTCAGCAAAAAAATTATCGCTACAAAAATCAGCGTTACAGATAAATTACTGCTGCAAATCCCTTATTTAACCTCATAATCACCCTTGCTGAGAATTTAACATTTTTTCCCTCCCGTGTTCCCTTCTCCCACAAGGTGGTGCAAGAACCAGGGACAAGGTACCATTTCCAGCCTGTGCAAGGGGAGTGCCCTGAGCAATATCTGTCCATCTCAGGACATTCCTCATGGCAAGAGGCTACAGAAACTTGATTTTATATGTGAAAGAGAGTCTTAGAAGTGATTTCAGTGCAGTGTAACAAGATTTCCTGGGGAAGGATTTCTAATAACAGCTGGCTCTTGAATCTAATGGAGAAAATCACAATTAAATTTGTCTAGAAGTCGAAGCTAAGCTCAGAATATGAGTGAGGGCTACATTTGGAAAGGCTAAAAATGGTGAGCCACCAAACCAGATTTCTTGGGAGTAAGAGGGTTTTGCCACGTCCTGTCCAAATTTTAAATGTTCCCCAAAAAATCCTTTAACCCAGAAAGATGTTATAGCCTGGCTGCAACAGTAGGGATTAAGGTTTGTGAGCTGGATGACAATGAATATCACATGTCTATAAATGACCCTTGGCTTCCAAAATCTGAAGTCACTGTGCCCAGGTTGCTTTTCAACGCCTCTACCATGGAACATCCATCACTGCCCATAATCTGCTATTCAGTCTGAACAGATCTTGCTTCCAGGCAAAAAAAAAAAGGCAGCTTTGCTGGTCTTTCCTTCAGTGCTGTTCCTTTTCCTCAAGGACCAGGAATTGTTTCTTCTTCAGACACGACATGGTTTGAATCCCTGTCTGCAGCAGATAATGGGATCACAGCTCTTGTTTCCTTGTTGCTCAGCTCTCAGAACCGTTGTAGTTTTTTTGTATTTCCTCATCTTTACTTGAAGTGAGGGCGTGGGAGGGAAGTGGTAAAGGGAAGAGTCACTGATGGCATTAAAGCAGAGGCCTGCAAAAGGACTGGGGATAAAAAGAGGCTCAGCGAAGGCAGCAGGAACTGAACACTTGGGCCCCGTGTTTTGAAGTAAAAATACTTCAGTTTTCAAAGGCTTTTCCTTCTAGAATGAGAACACTTTCTAGGTAGCTTAGTGTAAAAAAAAAAAAAAAAAAAAGAAAAGAGCCTTTTACCAGGATGTTCAGGTGGGCACCAAATTACAGATGGGGGGGGAGTTGTCAGCCAAACTGAAACAGGATGCATTTCCAAGGGATGTCTCCCCTGTTTAATGCCTCTGAGTGGGGCTGTGAGCTGTTTCAGTCCGAATCCTCTCTTCCAGGTATGTTTGCCTGGAAGGAAACTCTGCTCCCTGCCCTTCTGATGGGATCCATGGGTACAGATGTCCCAGAGGCTTCTACTGCCCCGCAGGCACCGGGCTGGAGCTGCCCTGTGAGCCTGGCACCTTCAGCCCCGTGCCTGGGGCAGGGACCTGCCTGCCCTGCCCGCCTGGAATGGCCTGTGGAAGTGCTGCCACTGTGGAGCCCCTCACCTGCCCCAGAGGTGAGGCTCAGGTGTGCAGGAAAACCCCAAACATGGACGGGAGGAGGTGGGATGGAGACTTGCAGGAAATCCTCCTGCCTGGGTCAGAGCAGGGGTTCCTTCAGGGAACGGGGTGTTTGCTCAGCATTCCCACCTCTCTCTCCTGTGTTCATTCCCCCCTCCATGTGCAGGTTACTACTGCCCAGCTGGAACTGCTGCCCCCCTGCCATGTCCTGAGGGGACACTCAACACTTTGGAGGGGGCACTGGCCCCCACTGCCTGCAGGCTGTGCCCAGTGGGGAGGTACTGCAGGGGAGAGGCCAACTGGGAACCTGATGGTGAGTTTGGTTAATAACCCACCCCACAGCACAGGGGTGGGATATTCAGGATGCAGGGAATTGGAAAATATCTCCATGAACAGAGTAAAGGCTATTGGAGGGCACCCTTCACCCTGTGCCTGTCACCCTTCACCCTGTGCCCATCAGCCACTTCTTTTTCCCTGTCTCATTCTTTTCACTGAGCATTCATTTTGGATGTTATTTTGGATGTTAGTGCATTGCTTTTCCTTCTCTCCCTTTGTTTTTTTTCTGCTTTCTCTTCCTTTGCTTTAACACTTTTATTGCTGCTCTTTCTGTCCTCTTAAACACTTTCCCTCCCATTTAAGCACAGAGGGATTGTCGCTGGGGCAAAATGCCAAGGTTGGATGCCTGGAAAGAAGAGAGGCAGGATTCTTCCCACAGGAAACAAATGATAGGGAACTAGTTAGAGAACTGATAAGATAAGCAAATGCTAGATGAGGTCAGAGCAGGTAAAGAAAGGAAGTGATAGAGACCAAAGGTTAATGAGGAGGAAAGGCAAACCAAAGGTGAACTGCCCAGGGTATCAGCAGTGATTACAATAGGATAAGGATGGGATTTGGCTTCTCTTCTCTGAGTTATCTGGCTATTTCTGAGGGTTTGAGGAGATGCCACCCTCTCTGTCCTGCCCTGGCAGGTCTGTGCTCAGCTGGGTACTACTGTGCAGGAGGAGCCACTGATGCCACTCCACGTGGGACACCTGCCTTCCCTCTCAGTGGGCCCTGCCCACCCGGGCACTACTGCCCAGAGGGAACCCATTTCCCCATTGCCTGCCCAGCTGGGACCCTGAACAATGCCACGGGTGAGTGGGACCCCCCCAGGGTCTGGCATGGCTCAGCAGCTGCCCCTTGGCTACAGCAGGGTGTTGGCACCCTCAGCCAGGCCTGGTGGTGCCCGTGTGTTCCCAGCTCAGGTCAGTGCTGCTGATGCTGTTCTGTGCTGGGTGTTCTTCCACCTCCCCCTCTGGCTGGCCCTGGTTTTTGGTTTGCCCTCAGGTGGTGCCTCCCCCCAGAGCTGTGTGCCCTGCTACCCTGGCTCCTTCTGTGCTGCTGCTGGGCTGAGTTCTCCAACAGGACCTTGTTCTGAGGGGTTTTACTGCCCAGCAAACTCCAGCTCTGTCAGCCCCACAGCGTTGCTCTGCCCCAAGGTACTGCTGAGGGGGTGAGGGAGGGGGGACTCAGCTCTGGGCAATTCCCACAGTGGCCAGGGGTCACACACCCCTCATTGATACATTGATTGCATCCACACAGAGTGTTGCCCAAGGTTTAATGACACAGCCCCTGTGTTTGGCTTCACCTCTGTGAAATCCTCTCCCTCCTCTGTCCTTGCAGGGTCACTTTTGCCCATCAGGGGCAGCCCAGCCAACACCATGCCCTGCTGGAGAGTACCAGCCAGCCACAGGCTCTGCATCCTGCATCCCCTGCCAGAGAGGGTTCTACTGCCAGGACCTGGTGACAGGAGACCCCAAGCGCTGCCCACCTCATTCGTACTGTCCCACAGGTGCACTGGAACTTGCATGCCAAGGGTTCAGGTGTTATGTGCCTCACTGTGATCCCAGAGATGTACAATTCATGTTTGAATTCCTGTAGGCCGGATGACAAGGAGGTGGCAACGAGCCAGCGTGTCCTGGGAGTCATTTGTCACGCTCTGATCCAGGTCAAGAGCCTTGTCAGACCACAACAGCCTCCCTGAGGTTTGTTATTGTCTCTGTGGTCTCCTTTCCAGGCACACGAGTTCCTCTCACGTGTCCTGAGGGCACCTTCACTCCTGGAAACATGACTGGCCTCTGGAATGAGAAGGAATGTCTGCCTTGCTTACCTGGTCACTACTGCAGGTTATGAATCATTTCAGTCTGGCTTGTTTTTCACTTTGCCTTTGAGATCCTTGGTTGGTGCTGGTAAGTGGGTGCTAAGTTCCTCCTGGCTTCTCCACTACATCTCTCTCATTCAAAGTAAGAAATACAAGCTTATCCACCACATCTCTCTCATTCCAAGTAAAGAAATACAAGCTTAAGACACAGCTTTTGGGTACAGAACTGTTGGATCTGTGAATTTTGGGAGGCATCTCAAAGCAGTCTGACATCACTGTCATGGTACAAAGAAGCATCTGGAAGAGAGATGGTAGGGGTAGCATTTATGGAAACGTGGAATTAATGCAGAAAGATCAGCCTGGTGGAAAATCATCCACAAATTCATCTAAAGCAGTTCACATTTATGGAATTTGAACTCAGAAGTGTCTGGCTCACTCTAGTCACCTGCATATGGAAAAAACGGGGCTGTTTTTGTCTCCTGTCAGTGTAAGAAGTTATTTTTCATTGCAGAGTTCACTGCACCAACACTTGCTCTGCCTCTGCCCCAGCTCAGCAGCAGTGGGTTGTATGTGGACTCTTGCTGTTCTCTCTGCTCCAGGCACGGGCAGCTGGAGGGGAAATGTTCTGCTGGATATTTCTGCCTGGCTGGGAGCTCCCAGGCTGCTCCCCAGGGCCACAGCTTCTCCTGGCGCTTCCTGGCCGGGTGTCGCTGGGGCCAGGTGTGTGCAGGGCTGTGTCCTGCAGGTGAGTCAGGACCTCAGTGCTATTTAGGGTATAGAATTATTGGCTTGCTTCTAACCAGCTGGAAAACACCATTATCTCGCATGATATACTGTGATCTCTTCTTTTAAATTGTCGTTGCTTGTTGGTTTCTTCTGGTTTTCCATCTTTTGGACCAATTTGTGTGCCTGACCAAAAAGGCACCTCGAATTTCTGGTGCTGAACTGATGCTCCAGAAGAGTTTGAAGGCTTTTGGCCTGGCTTTCTGTGTGCACAGCAGCCTCCCAGCAGCTGTGTAAATGTTCATTCTGCAACAACAGGAGGTTCTTGCTCAAACATTTTTGTCATTGGAGGACTCAGTGCCGTGGTCTAGTTGACAGGGTGGTGGTGGGTCGTGGGTTGGGCTCTGATCTCAGAGATCTTTCCCAACCTGGTTGATTCTGTGTGGTTCTGTGACTTGCATATTTTACTTTTCTCTCTTTCCCATCCCTTTCTGTAGGTTTCTACTGCCTGGAGGGATCTGAGGTGCCCATACCATGTCCTGCCAACACCCTTAGAGATCTTCCAGGGGCTGTGAGGAGGGAGGATTGCCTGCCCTGTCCACCGGGACGCTGGTGCAAAGCAGGTTGGAACTGGGGGATAAACCCTGAGGGGAAGGGATAGGAGTTGCTTTTTTTAAGAGTTGTGTGTGTCCCTGAACCTGGTGAGGCTGGATTTGAGGTCAGACATGGCATTTTGGGACAGTCCTGGCAGTGGGAGTCTCTAGTGATGAGTTCTAGTGTCTGCAGAGAAAAGAGGTATTTAACAGTGTTAATATAACATGCTGTTCCAGCAACCATGGGAAATGTTGGGGAGCCTGAGATCACAACCAGCCTCCAAATATCCCTGTCAGAAGAGGGGCTTGGATGGTGGAGGTGGATTTTGCACAGATTGTGCAGTAGCTTAGGGAGGACCCAGCAGATCACAGAACAAAGGTGTTCCAATCCTGTTGAAAATGGCTCTTTAAATCCTTGCTTTCTGTTTCTCAGGGGACTCAGAGGCCCATCCGTGCCCATCAGGACACTACTGCCCCGGGGGCAATGGCAGTGAGCACAGCAGCCCCGTGGCACCCCAGCAGTGCCCTCCCCAGACGTTCCGTGGGCAGCCGGGGGCTCAGAGCCTGTCTGACTGCCAGCCCTGCCCTCCAGGGTACCACTGCCCCCTGCCAGGTCAGTGCCAGGGGAAAAACAGCCCTTCCCCACCTCCAGAGCTGATCACAAAGCTCCCTGAGATGAGATGGTCAGTCATGCCCACAATTATCCCCAAAACTCCTCCTGGCCACCCAGCCTCCCTTTCTTCTCTCCTTTCTCTTCCTCACAGGTCTGACAAGGTTTGAGGATTATCCATGCCCTCCTGGGTACTGGTGCCCTGGTAAAGGGGACACTTTCCTTTGTCCAGCTGGCACTGCCAGGACCCAGCCTGGTGCAAAGTCACTGGAAGAGTGTGATCCCTGCTCACCTGGATATTATTGCCCAGACCCAGCGCAGACAGGGCTGCCCAACACCCAGGGAGTACCTTGCAAACCTGGCTACGAATGCCCAGCAGGTGACAGGACCTTTGTTTTCTTTATTTCCTTTATTCCCAGCCATTTCTGAGTCTAGAAGGCAGATCAGCAGGCACAGCCATGACATTTAGCAGTGACTCTGGTCCCATTCTTGCAGCAGCCCTGCCAGGACATGGTCACTCCCAGCCCTCCCTTCCTGTTCTTGTTTAGCAGAGATTGCCAAAGGAAGTGGTGTGGACCTAGAAAAGGAGTAGATATCTTGATGCAGGACTAGGCACTGAGGTTTTAGCATTTTCTGCTAAATAGCAAACTGGTTTCCAACAGATCTGTGCCCTTTTGTGAGCAGTAATGTTAATGGGCACTTAATAAAGCCCCCCTTTGCTCCCTGTCTCCCCAGCCCAGAGTCTCCTGTTCTGGGTATGTCACATAATGTATCTCTGTTCATCCTTTTTTCCCCAGGTTCAGTAAATCCCAAGCCTTGCAGGCCTGGCCTGTACTGTGGTGCTCTCACAGGTGAGCCCTCTGTGTGTCCTGCTGGGTACCACTGCCCCGAAGGATCCTCCACATACAACAGCCCTGAGCAGCTGTGAGTACCTGCAGTGTTGGTGCAGCCAGATTTCACTTCCTAAAAACTCTGAACTGTGCCTGGGATTGAACCTAAACCACAGTCTTTGTGCACTGGGCAAAAGCAAAGGAATCTTTGTAGCTGCATTCGCAGATTTGGTGACTGCTAAGACTGACTGGGGCCATTTATGATTTCTGCTACTCAGCTTGTGCCTGGAATCAGATGAGAACCGTTTTTAATTTTGCCCTCTGCTTGCACTGGTCATTGTACCCAGAAATCAAACTGATTTTTAGAGCTTTCTCCCCTCTCCCTGCCTTGTTTTGCCTTCCAGGTGTGTGTTTCCATACTACTGCCCCCCTGGCAGTGCCCACCCAGTGCCATGTGAGGGAGGATCCATGGCCCTGCCCCTGCCTGGTCTGAGGGACTCCTTGGAGAAGTTCTGCAGGGTCTGTGCTGCAGGGACCTACCGCAGTGCCCCCCTGCTCACAGCCCCCTGCCAGCCCTGCCCCGCTGGCTTCCTCTGCCCACCAGGTACCTGGGGCACTGGGGCAACAAACAGCAGCTCAGACTGGCTGCAGAGAGCTCTCAGTTCTGTGTGGGCAGAGCTCTCAGCCCTCTGCAGTTATAAAACCCTGCTGTGGGCTCCCACGTGGATTTGCCACCGGATTTGCCCCGTGAAAGAGCTGGGAGAAAGAAACTGAGATTTGTATTTAAATATGGATTTGTATTTAAATATGAGTTTATATTTAAATATTAATTAGGTGGGAAAATGCTGAATGTTGATTAACTTTATATATACAGACGTGTGTATTTATATCTATTTGTATGTATATATTTAAGTGGGATAAGCAGGTGGTCTCTGCCCCTCTCTTAGCACATGTTGGGGTCCCTAAGCAGTACCTTTTCTCTAGGCAGTGAGAGCTACCACCAGCAGCCTTGTCCCCGTGGCCACTACTGCCCTTCCCTGGCACCTGCCCCCCTGCCCTGTCCCCCAGGGACCCACGGGAGCAGCCACTTTGGGAAGCACAGAGGGGATTGCCAGCCCTGTCCTGCTGGCACCTTCAACCACCTCCCTGCCCAGGCTGCCTGTTTCCCTTGTGGCAGCTCCTCTTCCTCTCAGCCTGGTGAGTTTTTGTGTGTGTGAGTGAAGTTCCACCACTGTTAAGAGAAAGACTAACAAGGAAATCACCTGGAAATGTGATTCTCTCCTGTGGTTTCATGATGGAGCACAAGCCCTGGCATCCTCATGGTGCCAGTGCCCAGCTGCTCTCCCTCTGTCCCCCCCAGAAAGAGAATTCAGTTGTCAAAGCTGTCTTTTTTCTTTAACTCTTACACTCTGTTAGCCGAGGGGATTTGAGCTCCTTAAAGGAAGGAGGAGATGAGCAGCTCTACTAATTCTTGCTCTAGTAATTCCTGCTCTCTTATTGCTTTGGACTTTCACCAGGAGTACTTTAGCCCTGAACTGGGGAGCTTGTGTTAAGTGTAGGTGTGCTTTTGAGCCAAAATTGGGCACTGAGAGCATGATAAAGTGGGGTGAAGGTGGAAAACTGGAAGGTAGGCAGCTGTGCCCAGTGAAGAGTACCTTACTCAGTGTGTGTGCAGCACTGTCCCAGCATTTCAAATCAAGTGGATTTGAGATGTTGAAGCACAAAGAGGGGCTTGGCAGCCTTGACTGACTGAGTCCTTACCCAGTCCAGGGGCTTAATGTACAGATGAATGGAGGGCTTGTCAAAACTGCTGCAAATGAGCAGCTGGGCCTTTCTGCCTCTCTGCTGAAATGGGGCTGCAGGAAATGTCTGATGGCTGTGGAGCTGAAGGTAGGCTGGCTCCAGCTGCCTGCCCTCAGCTCTGCTCCAGCAGTGTCACTAAAATGAGCAGTGGGATTTGATGAAGGGTATTGAACACTGGAACTGCTCCTTTCCAGAGAGCAGTTTTTATTCCTCACCCCAATCACCCCTCTAAATCCAACCTCTCCTCTTAAGGTGCCACCAGCTGTACCTGCCATGGGCTGAACAGGGCTTTCCAGCAGTCAGATGCCTCCTGTATCTGCCAGGCAGGTTATGTTTATTATGATGAGAGAGGCAAGAAAGACCCTGACAGCAACAGCGACCAGGACTGTCGACCTCAGGTAAAATTTGGCTTCAAAACAAAATTGTTTTGTGATGTGCAGGAGGGGGGGGAGTAATTGGCCCAAGCAGTGCTTTGGGCTGAAGATACAAGCAAGTTCTTTAACTGGTTTTTTTGGGGGTTTTTTTGAGACCCTTGACCCTTCCTTGTAGGATAATGGCACTTGATTTCTTTACTAAGACATTATGAGGCTAAATTTAAATTCACAAGGCGTGGAGGCAAAGGATACTTCCACACCAGGGCAGTGGGGAGCAGCACTGTCTCATGTAGATGACAAATGCAGGAATTTAAGCCTTCTTATGGTTGATGTGAAGTTCTTCATCAGACTTGCATGAGGGATTTGGATGGGAGGGGAAACTGCCACGTTCTTTCTTCCATGCTTTCCAAGTTGTCCTTTAACCTTGTTGAAGGCTACTATAGGAACTTCAGTCAGTGATTCTCACTTTTTGACTGGATTTCTGTAGCACAGAGATAAAACTTGTCCTCTGTTAGACAGCCCAAGTCTTTGTTGGGCAGTAATTAGACGAGCTGACAATGCATGGGGCCAGCAAAGAACTGCAGGCACTCTTTATGTTGAAGGCCTGATGCCATGGGCAGGGAGGGAATTTTGGGGATGCTGTGAGTTAGTCGAAATACTGCCTGGTTTCTCACATGCTGTGGATGCTGTGTTTGCAGGTGGATGAACTCTGTGCCCCCGGGCAGGTCCGTCTGGCAGCCACACGACGCTGCGTCGTCCCCGCGCGCCACGACTGCTCCCCTGCGTGTGGGAGGGCAGGGGGAGAGATCCATGCAGAGCTGGGCATGTGAGTCACGGAATCCCAGAATCCCAGAATTATAGAATCCCAGAATCATAGAATCAGCTGGGTTGGAAGGGATCTCTGAGATCAAGTCCAACCCTTGATCCAACCCCGCTGTGGTTCCCAGCCCATGGCACTGATGCCACATCCAGTCTGTCCTTAAACACCTCCAGGGATGGAGAATCCACCACTTCCCTGGGCAGCCCATTCCAATGGCTGAGCACCCTCTCTGGAAAGAAATTCTTTCTCATATCCAACCTAAACCTCCCCTGGCACAGCTGAAGACCGAGCCCTCTTGTCTTGCTGATGGTTGCCTGGGAAAAGAGACCAACCCCCCCTGGCTCCCCCCTCCTGTCAGGGAGTTGTAGAGAGTGAGGAGGTCTCCCCTGAGCCTCCTCTTCTCCAGGCTGAGCCCCCCCAGCTCCCTTAGCCTCTCCTCACAGCACTTGTGCTCCAGTCCCTTCCCCAGCCTTGATGCTCTTCCCTGGACCTGCTCCAGGACCCCTCAATATCCTTCCTGAGCTGAGGGGCCCAGAACTGGACACAACACTCCAGGGGTGGTCCCACCCCCTCAGCCCCTCCTCACCCACCCCCTCACCACCAGAGTCACTGAGCCCACGAGCTCACAGCAGGGCAGGGCCGTGGGAGGTGTTTCTGGGGAAGTTTCCTTTGGTGGAGTCCCTTCCCATGGAGATGCCAGCCCTCAGCCCACAGTCACTGGCCCCATTCCTCTGCCTGGAGAGTGTGCCTGTGTCCCCAATACCTGGGGATTTTGTGTCTGGGGTGGAGGCACCAGAATGAACATGGACTGACAAGGTGAGGATGGACAGAGCTCAAATTTACTTCCAATTGCTTTGGGTTGAGCCCCTCTGAAGTGGATGATCACTCTAGTAGGTTTAGACCAGAAATGCGGATATCAATCCTTGTTCCCTCCCCCTTTAATCATAGTTTTATAGATATCAATTTTTATATAAATATATATAAATATAAATATTTATATATTTTTATAAATAACTATCATTTTTATATATATATAGGACACATATTCATGGTTTGGATTGGAAGGGACCTTAAAGATCACAAAGTTCCAACCCCCCTGTCACGGGCAGGGAGACACTGAAGCTGGTTCTTGTCATATCATTATCACTTTTTTTCCTCTTTCTGTATTGAAAATCTCCTCCTGACATGGACTGCAAAGAAATCCAGTGTGTTAAAATTGTACTCTGTTTCTGTCAACTGTGTTCTTAAAGCTGAGCTTTAGGGAGGGGTGTGTAATGCTCTGTTACAGCACTAAGTTGGTCACTATTAGACACCAACCAAACACTGTTAGATACTGGGGGGTCATGTTTTGGCCTTGAATAGCAGGCAAGGTACTGATGGGATGGACAAATAGTTTGCTCCATCCTGTTTTCCATGGACATGGAGCAGCCCCACTTGTTGTAATTTATAGGATACTGGATCTGTCCTGACCCCCAGTGTGTTGCAGCTCAGGGGTCATGACTGATCAGGGCCTTTTGTCCACTTGGCAGATGTCACTGCAAGCAGTACATCTCTGCTGAGGAGCTCTGTGACCAGCTGTGCCTGCTGAGAGCCCCACACATCTCCCTGGCATTTGGCACCAACAGGGAGCTGCTCCTGAGGACGGATGAAGGAGAAGTGAGGGTAGGTTTTGGGGGAAGGGAATGCTTTCTCAGTAGGCAGGTCTGGAGGGAGCTCTTAAAGATCACAGCTTGGGAAAGGGACTCGTGGGTCCTGAAGTTACAGGGTTGGTGCTTTACAGAGAAATGACAGTTCCTGAACTGTAGGGGAAAAGCCTCACTAGAGGAACCTTGTACAGCTGCAGTTAAGACTGGTCACAAACCAGGATCTGAGTCCAGTGTTGATTGTATCAGTGACCAGTGTTTCCCTCTGCTTCCCATAGGAAGTGGCAAATGTCCTGGGCCCAGATGAGCACGTGCAGAACAGCCAGAGGGTGCATTTGGTCCTGTTCAGCCCCAGTGGAGTGCTGGGTTTCATTGTCTCCAGCACAGATGTTCTGGATGCATTTCTCATGGGTAAGGCTTGAGAGCCCCTGAGAGTGAACCTGAATTCCAGCCAGACTGAGCCATTTGTTTCCTTTCAAGTTGGCCCAGTGGGAATTTATTATCAGGTGCTCCAAACTATTTAGAAATTAGGGAGATACCTTGTTCTGTCTGGGATTAAACAGTGAGGAACTGCACTGACTGCACAGTTAGCTCCCTGGGAATGGGTCAAATAAAGATTGCAGGATGATTTTGGATTTCCAAGAACTAGGAAGAAACTCCATTTGGAGGCAAATCTGTTGGCAACTGTGTGCTGGCTCCTGATTCCATTTGCTCCTCAATTAGGGTGGTGTGGCTGAGAGCAGAATTTGGCCTTGTGAGCTGTAATTGCCCACAGGCACAAAATAAATAGTTCTTCCTTGCCAAGGATTGAGTGTCTTCACATGCTGCTCATTTTGCAGGATTCACTGTGGTTTGTTCTGTTGCCTGGCAGGAGATTTCCCATCAAATCAGCTGCTGCAGAAAGGTCATCGATTCCAGAGGACTTCCTCCAAAGATCCCCAGGCCTTGCCCCTGGTTCCCAACCCTGTGGTGTGTTTGGAAGCAGGAGACACGATCCTTTTCCAGCTCAGCATCGATTCCCAGGGTGAGTGTTGCTGGGTCTGTGCTCCCTTTGCAGGTCTGTGTGTGCAGACCCATTCAGGGCAGTGAGTCCACGTTTGCCTGTGTGAGCACATCCCTTCCCATCCCTGCTCTCTTGCCCTCAGGGGATCCCACAACTGCAGTCTGGGCTCTGACAGGGACTTACCTCATGGTTTTCAGTTTTTGGTTGGATTTCTGTACAACAGACATAAAGGATGTCCTCTCTTAGGCAGCAGAAATCTTTGTTGGGCAGTAATTAAACTCAAATAAATGAGTTGACACTCATTAGCCCTACAAATGAAACACAGTTCTTTGCCAGCCCAGTGCCAGCTGTCCCAGCTGAAGGGGGTCAGAGCTGCTGACACTGTTCTGGACCCTTCCCAGATCGTGCATCCAGCCATTACCCTGTTTATCAGAAGCAGCATCTCTATAACAGCAACCCCAGCTGGGATTTTGGACCCTTCCGAAGGCTAAACCACCTCATCCAGGAGACTCACCTCAACCTCTCCTGGTAATACCTGCTGTGGGTGACAGTGCATGTGTTGTGTGTTACTCACTCCCAAATCCTGGGTGCTGTCCTGGGGTTTGGGAGTGAGTCTGAGATGGAATCAGTAGGTCCTTGGCAGTGAAAATGTCAAATATGTGTTCAAATCCATGTCTTTGCCATTATCACAGCTGGAGGCCAAAGGAAACTTGGATCAACCCAGTGCCTTCTTGGCTTCTCTCTTTCAGGTTTGCCCATGTTTTCCTGGAGTCTGGCACATATGTTTTCAGGGATAACACTGTCCAGGAGCACTTCCTGATTGTGACTGTGAAGGAAGCCAACGTGAGCTGTGACCCCAGAGCTGTGCCCTTCCAGCCCTCCTCTCTGTTCCAGCTGGCCAGACATGGGGTTTTGAAGCAACAGGATCTGAACTTGGCTCCCAACTGGGCTGCTATCACAGGTACAGCCAAAACACTGGGACACCAACCTTGAGGCTTAACTATGACCTTTCTTGTACTTCTTGAAGTGTGTTTAAACAAGCATTTTCTTTGAAAACACCATCAAACCACTGGCTTTGTCAGCTTTAATCCTGTTCTCCTGTGGAGCTCCCCAAAGTTCACTGCCAAGAACCTGCCTGTGTGGGAGCTCAAGTGGTGAGAGAGGGAAGGAGCAGTTGTGTCTCACCCCACACCCTGCTCCAAGAATTCAAGTGATTGAGGGTGCTTTGTTTTCCTTGGCTGGAAAGCAGAAAGCGACACTGTGTTTCCATGATAAACTAAACTGAAATTAAATACATCATTTCAAAGTTGACTGCAGGCTAAACACAAGGTCAGTTGAGGTCTTTCCTCAAAGCCAGACCTCTGGGTGAGTGCTTTGCACATACCAGTCCATCAGTGAGAGGCCAGTAAACAACAGAAACGAAAGTGTGGCTTGCAAGTGTGATCCTTGGCTGGGTCACCTCAGAAAACACTTTGCTCCTGGCCTGCTGCACCAACCAACAGGGGGAAAGCAGAAGCCCCTGTAATCAATGTGAAAGCTGCTAAATGTTGGTTTGGGGCAGGATACATGGTAGTTTCTGTGTTTCTCACTTCTTGCCATCCCTCTCTGCTTCCCCAGCCATCCTCTTTGTTCTGGGCTCCCTCACTGTGGTGCTGACAACCCTGGCCATAGTGTTCCAGCCTGCTGGCCCTGCCAGCAGCCCCCTGAAGGGCTGGAAGCCACGCTGGAGGAGCCTGGGTGAGCCCCACATCCCCCCAGAGTACATCCTCCTAAAGGACAGGTAAACCCCCTCTGCACGGTAGGTGTGAAAGTCTGGACAAGAAATCTGTCCTTCTGCTGGAGCTGGGCTGGTGATAACTGCAGTATCTGATTTCTCTGAGAAGAATGAGATGCTCTTCACCCTCTTCTGTCACTCCCTCTAGCCTTCAGTTTTATCAGATGCTTGGTCCTCGAGGCTCTGGAGGAGATGCTGCTTCTGGAGAGAAGGGAACAGCCCCCAGTGCAGGTGAAGTGCTGGGCCAACCCCAGCTGTTCTCCAGCTGCCTTCTTCCCACTTACTCCCCGTTTTGTTGTCCTGTGTTAACTCTCTGGTGTGAGAATGGTGTCCACATTCACCCAGGCACACACCCTGCCATTCTGGGTCCCTTTGGTCTCCTCAGTCAGGCAGTGTAACCCCCTCTGATTGGAATGGGGTGGAGGTTTCTCCCTTAGGAGTCAGGAGAGGAAGTGGCCAGCCCCGAGAAGCCCTTTAAAAACGGCAGCAAATTTAAATGACCGCTAAAGAAAACAAAACCTTTACAAATATTTCCCTTGGCTGCTTCTGTTGGTCCTTCTTTTCTCCGAAGGCACGTGACTCCGGGGCTTTGTTTGCTTTCTGGGAATGACCTCACCTTGGGAATTTCGGGGTGTTCAGAGGGAACAGCAGATGGCAGCATGAAGTGGTGCTGGGAACAGCAGCATCCTGAATTTTCTGGGCGAGTCAGGAGCTGATAGTAACGCTCTGTCATCCTCCCCCTCACCACCTCTTGCCTCATCCATTTCAGCACAAAATGCTGTTGTCCCCCACGGGCAGGCAGTGGGAAATAAAGCCCGTGGCCAGTGTTTCAGCGTGAGCCCTCCCCTGTGTTTCAGGAGAGCCCTTGGCACGGGGGGTCCTGGAGGATTTCAGTGTCCGCACCCTCTATGACAAGCTGGAGGATCAGAACCTGCACGTGGCAGCTCAGCTGGCAAAGCACAGGATGGACGTGCTGGGCTTTTACAACAGGATCAGCCACAGGATTCAAAGCCTTGTGGTCAGTGGGAAAGAAAGATTTGAGGGAAGGGAGTCTTGGAAATGTGACTTTCGTTAGGATAAATGGTTCCCCTGAAGCGACAGTTTATTGAGGGATGTGTCTTCCCCATTTCAGAGTGTTATTTTGGCATAAAATAGTTTTATATAGTTTCAATAGTTTATCTAGTTAGTTAAGTTTATCTGGTTAGTTTATATGGTTAGTTAATAGTTTGTATAGTTTAAATAGTTTTTATATGGGAGGCAGAATGTGGAATGGGTGGATTGCAGGGTGTAACATTGCTAGCAGAGTATAACAGAGTGTAACCCAGAGTATGACACTGCTGCTCTCTGTGAACAGGACATGGTGCAAGCACTGGACCCTGATGCCCTGAAAATCTTTGCCAGGCAAAGGATTTGTGGGCACAAACCTGCAGACAACAGCGGGGCAGCAGAGGGTGATGAACAGGGTGATGAACACTGTGGGAACACCTTCCAGCCAGGTGAGAGGACCAGAGAGCAGAGCAAGGGAGAGGAGGAGTGTAAGAGTGAACAGGTTAAAAACAAGAGCTGGCTTATACACACAGAGATCCCACAAGACTGTGTCTGTCAGTGTTGTCCTGGAAGAGCTGACTGTCTGTCTTCATCTCAATTCAGTGAGAGGAGAAGTCTGTCAGCTCAGGAGGAGATAAACACACATTTATTTGGAAATGTTGTACAATATGAGGCACCTTGTGAAACTTCCAAAGGAAGGCTCCTGCTCTTGGTTTTGGTCTGGGTGTAATTGTAGTTCTTCAGGTGGTTCTGCAGGAGCCCATTTGAATTGTTTATCAGGTTCATCAGGTGCTCCATGGCAGGAGGTGAGAGAGTTAATGAAAGCTCTGGAAGTGCTGCTTGGGAATGCTCCCTGCAGGAATGGAGCTGTGAAGGGAGAGATGGAGCACAAGGTCCAAGCACAGGATACAGTGCAGGTTGTGCCCTCCCTGGGCAGCCTGGCCAGTGACAGGAAATCAGGAGTGCAAGGGCAGGTGAGTTGCAGGTGTTGTTGTTCCATCTCTCACCTTTCTGCTGGTTTTTCCCACTCGCCCATTTCTTTAACTCTTGGGCCCTTTTTATCCCACAGGATCATGAGCTGCCTCAGCAGTGGGAGCTCTTCAGCAGGAAGGATGGTTTTTTCAGCTTCCCTGGGCATGAAGAGCGTGGTAAGGGCAGTGCCATGGCTGGGGGTGCCATGGGTGCTTTCAGAGATCACAAAGAGGGCTGACTCAGTGAAGTCTGGGGTAAGACAGGTGTGTATGTTTGCTAGGAGAGCAAATGTATAATTATTTCTTCCCATTTATGGTAGTTGTTTTCACTTTTTTTTTTTTTTTTTTTTTTTTTTGCTGAGGTGCCAGTTCAGGGGAGCCACTTCTGCCTCCTCTGTAAGAGAGAAGTGTAGGAGTTTTCATCCCCACAGACCCTTTACACCTTTATATCAAGTGCCAACTGTGGACAGGAGAATGGGAGTCATTACACTGATTAAATGCCAATATGGGGAGGTCAGGAAGATTCTATACCATCAGTTCTGTGCTCCCCACAGCCTCTGGTTGGGTGTTCTTTCTGCTCAGTGCAGTATTTCCTTCCTGCAGCCATCCAGCCATGAAAAACCTCTTCCTTTAGGTTTAAAAGCTTTCCCATTTCTCCAAGGTTTAGATCTCCAGTTGCCTTACCTGACTGAGTTGGAGGTGGAGGGCCTGGTAGCAGCTTCCCCCCTTGCCAAGACCCTGTGTGAGATCAAGCAAGCCTTGGTGAACCTGCAGGAACCTTCAGACCCTGATAATCCAGGTAATAAATCTTAATCTGACTGCAATTTCTGTTTCCCTGTAGTGGATAGAAGATTACCAAGGTGGAGAAGTTATCTCTCACCCCTGGTGCCTGATAAACACCAATATCTGCTGCAGGTCACTAGAAAGAAGTCACCAGAAGGTCAATAAGCAGACATCAATGCTTGACTAATTCCCACATGTGGATTTGTTTCCTTCTTTCTTCCACTGAATTAATTTTATTAATTTATTTGTTGGCATCAGAAAAGGTTTCTGGGGAAAGTTGTACAGCCAAGATCTGTGATCTTTGGAACCAATTTACCAGCAAGAGAGTTCAGCTGGTTTTCCTCATGTGTACTGGCTTACAGCAGTAAAGAAAGAGTTAAAATAACCAGGATTCTTCTGAACTGAACATTTTCCTCAAGCAGTTGCTGAATTTTTAGGCTGTGACGCTCAGAGTTTGAAATTAATAATGGTGTGGGTTTGGTGTAATTATGGGTGGATCATTTGCATTATTTTGCGATTCAGATCCAGGGGGTTTGCAATGGGTGTGCCATGGATGTGCACAAACCCTCGAGCCCCTGGGCAGGGATCAGTGCTGGCTGTAGGTCCTGGTTTGTACCCTGTGGGTCAGTGGTGGCACAGCAGCCCCTGGTGCTCTGCTCTGCATTCCCCCCCCTGCCCTCATTCTGAATTTCTCTGACAGACAGCGACCATCAAAGCAGTGTGAGGAGCTCAGCCCTCCTCTGAGCTGCTGGGGCTGCAAACAGGGCTGGAGCTCTGCTGCTGGGATGGAGAGGAGCTGCCCTGCTCACAGGATTGAAGGGACAGAAGCATTTCATCTCCTGCACAGTAAAATAGCCACCAACTCACTTCCTTGAGGAACCTTATCCCTGGCAATGGCTGGAGGTGGACTGTGGGGCAGTGTGTGTGTGTCTGAGGACAGAGCTGCTTTACCTGAAATATCAGAAGAGACTGGTATCTAATTAAGGATGTATTTAGAGAAATACATAATGGGTAATCCATATTCTGCTTGCTTAACCTTGAAATGCTTTCACACTGGTCTTAGATTATCAATAATTTGTGGTCTGGAGAAGGAAGCTGAGCTTCTTGATGTCACTGATTTTAGAGTTCTCACTGTTAAATCAGTAAAGAAGAAAACATAAAACCACAGGTGGCATAAACCCCCCAGTTTATCAGTGTATTCTGTACAGCTTTTGTGATATGAAGGATGTTTGTGACTTTTTCAAGTATTTTAGAGCCACACTTTTAAGCCTTGCCCAGCATCTCTCCATGTTTTCAGTACACTCATGCTGATCTCAGTAAGTCCTACTGGCAGACACCCTCAGGGTCTCTACAGATGTGATTTTTCTGAGCAAAGAAGCCAATTAAATTATTCCTGTAGTGGTGACTGCAGGGATCTGTGCAGCTGCTGGACTCCAGTGCTGGGAGCCTGAAATTAAACTGCAAACATCCTCCCTCCCGTTCTGCTTCTGCTGACCTGTCTCTGTGAGAGCAGGAGAGCCTGGCTGTGAGGGGGGCATTGTTTCTGTGCAACAGGAGCAGCATCACCTGCTCCATCCTCACAATATTCCTCAGCTCTGGGTGAAGTGCAGCAACACAAGGTTTGCTGTGAGCCAGCCCAGTCCCTTGGCAAACCCCCCAAGTGGGACTGAGCTCCCAGAGCAAAGCCTGCTCTCCTCTCACTGCAATATTTACTGACTTGCTTGTGTGTGGAGAGGTTTGTGAGCCTGCTCCTTCCTGGTTCCTCGACACAGACCTCTGTTTGCTCCTTCTGCCTTTGCATAACCAGGGGGGGTGTGAAGAGAGGGACACTTGGTTGCCCAGGAGGCCAGACAGAAGCTCTCAGGTTTGCTTCCACTGCCAGATGTGTCTGGTGGACCCAGAGGAGCTGCAAGGGGGGTTTTTTTTTTGGCCCTCATCAACTCATTTTGCTGGTTCCACGTTTTCTAAGCTCACTCCCACACACAAAACGTTTGTTTCAGTTCCTTTGCAACTTCACTTTGGGAGAATTTAGGTACTTTACTGACACTTGGAAGGGACTTCCAGAAAATACAAACAATGCAGAGCACCTGTACGTCACTGTGGTTGCCTGTTGTGGAATGTAGTAGTGAAAAAAAAAAAACCCTGTTGTTGCTCTCTTCACTGCTTTCTATTTTAGGTTATCAGCAGATATGCTTATAACAGTCCTACATGGAGGTAAGAGCCTGCAGTGCTTGCTGTCTCTGATATCCACAGGGAAACATGGTACCCAGCAGGAGATAAAGTTATCTCTGGGATTTGGGGTTGTATTTGTAAAAGGCAGGGTGGAAGGCAGTAGTAAATACAATTTGTCACATTTTTATTGCAGCAGTTTCTCAATGAAAATGTTTTGTTTTAAATAAAAAAAAAAAAAGGCATGATGTGGAATTTTGCTCAAAGTTTTCTTTATTTTCCCCACTGTGGTTTTCTTAACAAATACACTTCAGTTATAAGTAAACAACTCTGTTTCAAAATGTTTTGGGTCTTTTTTTTTTTTTTCCCTACAAACCAAAGAGTATCAATGAAAAGAGCAGAGTTTCCCAGTGTATCTCTTCATGCTCAGTTGATAGTCCCTTGGAGAGAACAAATAAAAGGAGGAGTGGTGCAATCATCTTGTTTATTCTGCTTCTGAAGTATTTACTGTTGACAACTCATTTTATAGTGTTTTATGGAATCTCCTGGAAGTCCAGCAGTGTCTGGAGTAGCTGTGAAGTCTCCTCACGTGTAAAGGGTGCTGGTCCCCTGGAACTGCTGATAAAAGTGGGGGAGTGCAGGGTCACTGAATTTGGTGTTTGGAGAAGGGTCTCAGGGCTGTTGGTGTTTCTTTTGTTGCCTTGGCTTGTGGCTCTCTCAACACAAAATGAAAAGGCCCTTTTCAACACTCAGTGTGAAGTTCAGCCTCTCTTGGAGAGCATCAAATGCTGCTGTGGCTGTGAGAAGGAAGGGCTGGTTGGGATCCCTGAGCAGGAAAGGGTGGTTGGGATCCCAGAGCAGGAAGGGGTGGTTGGGATCCCTGGGAGGGAAGGGCTGGTTGGGATCCCTGTGAAGGAAGGGCTGGTTGGGATCCCTGGGAAGGAACCTCTTTGGTTTAGTGCTGTGTGTGGCTCTGAGGTCTGAAATGAGCTCCTGCTGATCCTGTGTTCCAGTGTGAAACTGTGGTCAAGCGTCCCAGTGTGTTCCCTGTTCCTGATGGTGTTTTGTGGCACTTCCAGAGGCTGCCCCTGGCTGTGCTCATCATCTGGTTAATCCTTCCTCTGACACACTCAGATATGGAACCTTTAAATGCTGTGAGAATGAAAGGTCCAATGAAAATATCTAATGAAAGTATATATATAATGTCCAATGAGGATATTTTGAGGTCCTGAATCATAGTTCTCAACTAAAATGCTCCCAGATTTGGGGTATTTTTCGATGGGGATCATCTTTGAGTAGCTGACATGTCTCTTGTTTCATTGCCAAGGCTCTTTGTAGCTTCCTGCCCTTGAATCCTGCCTTCTGTGTGCTGTCAGGTGAAGGTGAGTTGGCAGATGTGCCATGGCCAGGTGAAGAACTTGCTGCAGAACCAAGATGGAAAGATAAAGAGGGTTTGTGCTCTGGAGTCCCAATTTTAGCCTCTGAACATCCTTAGCTCCCCTCAGAGGCAATGATGTTGAACATTTACTGAAGGCAGAGCTAAACACCAGAAACTGGACTCTGAAATTAAGGCTGGTTTTGAAAATGCTCCAGTGAAAGTCAAGATTGCCTTCGTGTAGTACAGAGATTCCCCAGCTCCACTTCCAGGAAATATTCTTTTGAAAGTTTCTGGCTTTAATACCATGGTTTTATGCTGTACAGGACATGAAGGTTCCCAAGAAGCTGTTTTCACACCACTGCTGAAAGAGTACAGCATTGTCACTCCAAAATTCCTGGGTGTGAGCCTGAATTAGATGTTTCTATAGCCTTGTTCTCAAACATGAGAGGAGAGAATAACCTATTACTTGTGCTCCTATGGGAGGAATAAAAGCCTGAAGTAAAGAGTTTTTTTAATTTATAGTCAAAATGGGAAGTCCTTATTTCCAGAACTAAAAAACTATAAATGAAGGAGAAAATGCCTCTTGATCTCTTTGCATTGTGTGTGAAGTCTCGGAGTTGTGGATGATGTGGTGTGTCCGTGGAAGTACAAGGATTATGTTAGATCTTATCAGCTGATTTTTCTCTCTTCTCTCTCCAGCTCAACTGAAGAAATGTGAAGATTCCAAAGTTCTACCTGGCAGAGGGAAAACTAGAAAATCTGGCAAAAAAAGCCAAGTTGCTTTTGGAAGTTCCATCCCCAGGTGAGCCCCTGAGCTGAGTGAAAGCAGTGCTGACCCTTTCCTTAGGGCCCCAGCACTGCCCAGGAGTGTGTTGTGTCTCTACCACAGGTAAAAGGAGTCGTTCCCCACAGGGCAACAGGAATGAAACTGGGGCTTCCACTTCCAGAGGAACTGGGAGACACCAGCAGTGGCAGGTGGAAGGAGTTCTTTGGTGCTGAGCTCTGGAGGCCATCTTTATCCTTGGTTTATTCCTTGATGACACACAATTTATGGTTGTCAGAAGCCTGAAATGGCAAATACTTCATTTCTGAGCACACAGTCCCCTGACTCAGAACAGCAGGGAATCACTCTGGAGCCAGGGAAATGCCCAAAGACTTTGGTCCTCACAGACACTGGGTGAGTCACAGACAGTGACAGGAGGACAAGCTGCAGCCCCAAGCTGGTTTATCTTTAACACAGTAGTTTTGTCTCTGGAAACGTTGAAGTGTTCAATTAACAAGTTCTTCTAATTTTATCTTTTACCTCGCAGCTTCCATAAATAACTTTATAACTCCTGAGATAGCTCCTATCTTCATGGGATGGACCCTGTCCCATCTTACACAGACCTGTTGATTCATCAGTCCTGCTGATCTGCTGTGCTGAGCACTTGTGTGTGAACCACAATGGGAAACATATTAAAACTGTGTGTAAAAATGCAGATCATCTTGCAGAGCCTATAGCCTGTAGAACTCTTCTTCCTCAAGGTTCCTGTTAAAAAATAGAACAGGTTGTAAAACCTAATCACCAAGAGCAGGACTTTTCTCTCTACAACACCCAGTGGTACATTGATCTCAGATAAATTCACAAGCAGTTTTAAACTTGCAGCACTTTTATGCAACTCTTTCATTGCTGAAAATATTTTGAATTAAACAAAAGCATCTCCAAAATGTATTTTTTTTAAACTGTGACCCCCAAATAAGCAGAGGGCTCTTGGGAGTCCCCAGTGAGGTTCACATGCAGTGAGAATCACCTGTGTCTGTTTTTGTGAGAACTGTGTGACAACCTTGGAAGAATTCAGTGTTTCATGGGAAAGTGGTGTCATATTTTCAGCAGGGAACTGATGCCCAAGGGAAGAAATTAAGCAGGATGAAATCTTGTCTTTGAGTTAGTTGGGTATCCAGTCATTAGAAGAACTGGAAGAAACTCAAAGTGAGGGAGAAGAAACCTGAAGTGAGGAGGGAGAAGAAACCTGAAGTGAGGAGGGAGAAACTTGGTTTTCCTTATTGCCTTTTACTGACTTGGAAGTATTAGACCCTGAAAAAGAGAGACCTGGAAATTCCACTTATATCTCCCAAAAGCAATAGTCATCGATTCCTCATCTCCCCCTCACCCATCTGTCAGCTGGTGGAAGTTCTGGTAAATCAAAGTCCAAAATACCACAAAGTATGCACAGTTCCCTGTGGGAAATCTGCTGCAGCCCATCACTCCCACACCTTGGAGCCACCAAGCAAACAGCTCTTTATTTTGCCATTCCAAAACCACACCAAGTGTACACCTGCGGTATTCCCGTGGGGAGAAAAGCTGCTAATAAGCCTATTTCTTGGAGCAAATGTGCCAAGGCAAACACAGATAAAGTGAAGAACGTGGCAGTGAGGAAAGCTGGTGGTTTCCATGAGCCCAGTTCTTGCTAAACCCTCCTGGAGAGCCCAAGTGCCCGGGTCTGACCTTTGCGAGCGGCGCCAGGGAGGCGATAACCGGGTTGTGGTCAACAGGGAAGTCAACATGTTGTGTGGGTCAAAGGCCTCTTGGAGCCCTGGGTGTTGAGGTCAGACACTGCCTGGCAGGTGAAACTGTTCTCCAAAGCCTCTTGCCTGAAGCACTGAGCTCTCCAGGATCCACAGGCTGAGCAGAGTGACGGAATACTCCGAGTTGGAAGGGTCATCGAGTCCAGCTCTTGAGTGAATGGCCTGGAAGGTGAAGGACAGGAAGGGTGAATGGCCACAGACTGGAGAACCTGGGCCTGCAGCCCTTTGGAAAGGGGCCATCTGATGAATGTGCTCACAAGTGATGCCAGAGGGGTGTTTGTGGGCTGGATCTACATCACAGCACTGCTGCAGGAGTTGGAAATTGGAACTATAAAAAGACCTGGTTCTCTCTCGTTACGTGCTGCTGGGAAGTTGGATTTACTCCATAAACATGAAATTTTGATGTATTTTGCTATAAATGAGGTCAGGACCTGGGGGGGTTTCTTTGGTCTTGTCAGAAGAGCCAGAGTTAATTTTTTCTCCTCTAGCAAAACTCAGTAAACAATCCTTGACCTCCTTCCTGGGGAAATAATATTAAATTTAAGATGTAAATGTTATTTGATCCATAAGCAGAATGTCCACCAGCAAATGTCTCCCATCAATGATTTACCACCCTAAGGAGTTTTCCTGCAGCGTATTTACCTGTGTTTTTTAGGTCAGCAGTAACTAAGAACGAGGAAGACTTTGTAGTGCTGTAAATCCTTTGCTTACCTTGGCTTCTCCACCCTCTCTTAGCAAACTGCAGCTCCAAACCCCTTAGCTAAGCTCAGAAAAAAAGTGTTCATGCACAGAATCACCCCTCTTGGGTTTTATTCTTTTGTGGTCCCTTTTTTTTTTTTTTTTTCACTTGCTGACACCTTTGCCTTCTGGACTGGGAGGAAATTTGACCCTGGGTTGTGGAGATCCTGCACTCAAGGAAAAATTCACCTTGTGGAGGAGTTTAGTCTCAGCAACAAGCTGGATCCAGCTGTGATCCAGGGAACTCGAGCAGCTCCTTCCCTTCTGAGTTTATGTTCAACCTCCCTGGGTGGTGCTGGGGGGAGTGGGGGGCACTTCTCCTGCAGCTCAGCTCACCTGCCCAGGAAGGAAAGCTCAGCCACAGCTGGGGACTGGGACATTTGTCTTGGGAACATTCTGTCTGTTCAGCACAGAATAAACTTTCCTCCAGAGCAGCTCAGACCTGGCTATTCCAGACAGAAATACAGAGTAATTCAAACCTAATCTAGCAGAGCTGCTTTGAGACCCTTG